TCAAAACTGCCCTCGTGTTCCCTAGATTAAATGTGCTTGTGGGGGCATTGACAACGCAATACTTAACCAGCTTGAGCGGAGGCTTTACAAAGCATGCTGGGAGGCTTTGACCAGTAATTATAAGAGGCTTTACCCAGCAGACAGGGAGGCAAACAGACCAACAAGCAGGGAAGCTTTACCCATCACGCAGGAAGGCTTTACTCGACATGCAAAGAAGCTTTACAGAGCAGAGTAGCTTTTTCTCAATAGGCTCAAGTTCCTGTGCCTATTGGGCTCTATCACATCTTCTTTTGAAAATGTGTATGTACTTTGCTTCCACCACATCACTTCCTACGGTATTCCATATATTAACTACTTTGATAGGGAACAAATTATTTCTAACATCTCTGTGGCTCATTTGGGTACTAAGCTAACACCTGTGGAGACGAGGAGTCACAATATCGTGGCTGAAGTATGTTGACCAATCCGCACACTAGAAAATGAAGGGACGACGACGTTTCGGTCCGTCCTAGACCATTCTTAAGACGATTGTGTGTTCCCACCTGTGTCCTCTTGTTCGTGTACCACCAGTGTTAAATTGTTAGCCTTTATCTACCCTGTCAATTTCTCTGAGAAATTTGTAGGTGGTAATCATAGCTCCCCCTAACTCGTCTGTCTTCCAGTCACGTGAGGTCTCATTCCAGCTACCTTTCCTCGTTACTCATACCTCTCAGCTTTGGGACTAGTCTGGTGGCTCTGAACGTTCTTTAACTTCCTTTTGTGTTTGACTTGATAAGGACTCCACGCTGGAGCCGCTTACTCCAGGATTGGTCTGACATTCGTGGTATACAAGGTTGTAAATGATTCCTTACACAAGTTACAAATTGCAGTTCCTATGCTGGCCAACCTAGCATATGCCGCTGATAATGTCCTTTTGATGTGGGCTTCAAGGGGACAGGTAAAGTGAACATTAACCCCCAGATTTTCTATCTGGTTCTTGATAGATTTAATCTCCCACTTGGAACCTTGTGTCCAGCATCATGCTCCCTACAGCTATTTCATTTCTTTACACTTGCTTGAGATAAACTGTAGCAGCCATGTATTGAACCATTCCTTCAGTATATCCAGGTCATCTTGTCCTCCTCTGTCTTAACCATTTCATAATATTAGCATCATCAGCAAACATTGAGATAAATGAGTCTATAACCTCTGGACGGTTATTTGCATCAGAATAGATCCGAGGTTCTATCAGAAACAGGATAGGTCCGAGGATAGAACCCTGTGGTAGCCCGCTGGTGATATCTCACCAGTATCAGGTCACTCCTCACAGTAACTCCGTTTCCTGTTGAGGGTGTTTTCATACACTGAAAATACATACTGTTCCCATCAATATCAGTCCACCACACTCGCAAACACTAACAAAACAAATACAGCAATAAAGAACACAGCAATTGTTGTGGCAGAATAGTAGGCCAGAGTTACACACACACAGGATCTGTGGATAAGAACACAATCCACACACTGGTTGCAAAGTTTGCTCAGAGCAACATTGTGAAGCAGGAAAGCGAGAGGTTTGGACGTCGTTTGCGAGTCTTCATGATTTTTGGGTTTGGAACAATTGATTAGGAAAACAGATAGTGTACTTTGTCTCAGCGGCTCGCGAGGAAAATGAGAGAGAGAGAGAGAGAGAGAGAGAAAGAGAGAGAGAGAGAGAGAGAGAGAGAGAGAGAGAGAGAAGGGGGAATGTTTCTCTCGATACATTCTCGGACTACAACGAAAATATATCGAGAGAAAAAAGTTTTTTGTTCAATATAGAATTTTTAGATAACGTACATACGATAGCGAGAACCAATTCATAGCGATACTGAATAAAACTAAGAATAAAATATAGTAAAAAATGTACACACATCCATCTGATTTATAGTGAAAATTAACACTCGTGCTACTGTCATTTCTGATCGTGTAGACAAACTGATCTTACAAACACAGTAACCAGCTAAGGACGAAGACATTTGGGCACGTTTCCCCACACACTTGTGTTCACTTAGCATTAATAGGTACCTGGGTGCTATAGGCAGCTGCTATAGGATGCATCCTGGGGGAGGGGGGGGGGTAAGATCAGTTGTTGACCTATAAGGACCACATAACACCAGGCTTCCTGTCCCCTGACAACATAAAACAAGTCACATAACCCTTAAATTAATTAGCACATCATATATGAACGCATTTTGCTTACAATTCAGACAAAAAATCATGACTCTGGGTCAAAATAATATCTGACGAAACACAACTTCGGATAAAAATATCAATTGCGTTCACCAGATGAATTTTCAATAATGAATTTCGAAAACAAAAATTTTTGACCCATTTTTTTAAATAATTACAATGATAGTATCAATAAAATTTTTAAATATTTCGAACAAATAAGCCACAAAGAATTTGTTCCTAATACATTAACTATAACTAACCATTTCTTTTTTGTCTTCTAAGTTGTTTATTTAAAAAAATCCAGGATTTATTTATTTGGCCTGTATTTATCCCAGGATGTTAGAAGGGGCCGGAAACTAGTTACAGAAAAAAAACCGTCTTGTTCGGGGGAAAGTTATTGGACCATGAACACAAAGCCTAAAAGTCTGGAGGATATATAAGTTCACTTTAAGGGGTTTTTCTCCTCCGCCAAATACTGAACAAGGCTGAGCCAAACAGCCAATAAATGTCTGTGAATAGGATTATTTTTCTTACCCTTGCTGGAGCAACCGTTAGTGGGTTTGTTGCCATGGCACTCGAGGCACCTCACGACCCTGGCTTTGTGAGTATTAGACATACGTTGGCTCACTACGGTGGCTATGTGAGTACTAGACATACGTTGGCTCACTACGGTGGCTATGTGAGTACTAGACATACGTTGGCTCACTACGGTGGCTATGTGAGTACTAGACATACGTTGGCTCACTACGGTGGCTATGTGAGTACTAGACATACGTTGGCTCACTACGGTGGCTATGTGAGTACTAGACATAAGCCAACTATAGCACCTGACTTGTCTCTTCAGGAACATTGCGACACCATCAGGACAACATCTCTTAAAGAACGACACCTTCCACTTGCTCATGTTCGTAGAGGCTTCTATACATGATCTATAGATAAATTTTATTTTCATAGATTTCGATTTATTTTATTTTTTATTGAATTATTTAGTGTGCCATGGTGTTGGAATTGAGCTGTGTTGTTTACCATACTGTTCATTTCGTAAGTATAAGTATAGATGCCACACCTGTTACAGGTAAACTAGGCTTTTCTTGAAAAACAGCGCCATCTGTTGCATGTAAAAGTAAAACACACATGCTATACTAAATGTTACAATTCCATTTCAGTGTTTCTGATTGCATTGATAAATTGAATTTTCATAGATTTTGATTTATTTTCATTGTGATTTCATGATTTTGTGTGAATTGCGTTAGAATTGAGCTGTGTTGTTTACCATACCGTCCATTTCGTGAGTATAGTTTATTTTTGTACTTTTTCATATTTTTATTTAATTTTTGTGGGAACCGACCTGTGAGATTTATATTTATTTAATTTATATGAATATATATAGAATTTATATTTACGTTAATTTATATACTTCGATAGCAATTTGTATAATGATAAGTGGACTGTATTTCTGCAATAATCTCTTAATCTCACAAATCGATCCTCTACACATTAGGGGGGGTTTATTAGTTTATATATATGCAGCCAATCAAACTCCAGTTTGCAGGCAGTCTCCGTGGTGTAGTGGTAAGACACTCGCCTGGCGTTCCGCGAGCGCTATGTCATGGGTTCGTATCCTGGCCGGGGAGGATTTACTGGGCGCAATTCCTTAACTGTAGCCTCTGTTTAACGCAACAGTAAAATGTGTACTTGGATGAAAAAACGATTCTTCGCGGCAGGGGATCGTATTCCAGGGACCATAGGATTAAGAACTTGCCCGAAACGCTACGCGTACTAGTGGTTGTACAAGAATAAAACAACTCTTGTATATATCTCAAAAAAAAAAAAAAAAAAAAAAAAACTACAGAATTAGACTACATACATTGAAAAGGTTCCTTATCTTATAGTACAGCAGGTTAGTCCACCAGATATAACTAGGGTGTAGACACCAAATTATCCTCTTTGAGGTAGCTTCCATCACCCAGTAACTGGTGCACAAAATCTTGCTTCCTCGTCTTGACCTGTCAAAAGTGCGCTAGCTGTGAAGCCAGAATCCTATATATGACAAGCTATATCAGAGAAAACACTATACATGGAACAATAAAGACCTGGCTTAATTACCTTTAGTTTGAGGCTATGTCGTGCTCTAACCGGATCACCCTATATAATGACATTAATGGCCATAAATGAAAGATACATGGGTTTCGGAAAGAACACTTAACTTGAATTTGTAGACAGCGTGTTGAAAATGGTACACCTTTAGTTTCCATAACACTACGTCCAAGTAAATTTAACAGGAGCCGAATTGCTCCCTGAGCCTCTGGTCTAGTATAAACAATGGCTGCTTCTAACACTCCATACTATTGACGCCTGGCCGACATTGTCCAGATATGATAGGAGCCGAATTTGCTCCACGCGTCAGGGATGCGACACAACAATGGCTGCCCCTTCCTCACCCTGACGCCTGGCTTACATTGTCCAGATTTCAGAAAGTGATAGAAGGGTCACATTTACTCTACTTTAAGATTGATAATTAAGTTAATTTATATAAGATGTTTTTATGATGGTAAAGTCCAAAGACTAATGTATTTAAGAATAATTCCCACCATAATAGGTGGTGATTTATAATAGTATGTGGTGATGATATCCCGTTTTCTATAGACGGTAATTCCACTACAAGTTACGTTTTCTATGGGTTAACTTGTTTATACAACACAGCTCTTATCTGTCTGTATTAAATGGTGTCGGATTTTCCGACATAATTCCCCAGGGGCTGCTCACGGGTCGAAGTCCTAATTAGAACAGACGAATACCGATACTCCTCCTTC